GAGGGTGGCCCGGGTGGATGGCGTCCGGCTGGGATGGCACGCGGCCAGCTGGGATGGCGTGCATCCATCCCGGGCTGCATGCATCCATTCCGGGCTGCACGCATCCATCCTGGGCTGCACGCATCCATCCTGGACAACCTGCATCCATCCCAGGCTGCATGCATCCATCCTGGCCAACCTCCATCCATCCCAGGCTGCACGCATCCATCCCAGACTGCATGCATCCATCCTGGACAACCTGCATCCATCCCGGGCTGCATGCATCCATCCCAGGCTGCATGCATCCATGCCGGGCTGCACGCATCCATTCTGCACAGCCTGCATCCATCCCGGGCTGCACGCATCCATTCCGGGCTGCATGCATCCATTCCGGGCTGCATGCACCCATCCTGGACAGCCTGCATCCATCCCAGGCTGCACGCATCCATCCCAGGCTGCACGCATCCATTCCAGGCTGCATGCATCCATTCCAGGCTGCATGCACCCATCCTGGACAACCTGCATCCATCCAGGATAGCACACATCCATCCCAGGCTGCATGCATCCATCCCAAACAGCACGCATACATCCCGGACTGCATACATCCATCCTGGATTACATGCATCCATCCAGGATAGCACACATCCATCCCGAGCTGCATGCATCCATCCCAAACAGCGTGCATCCAGCCAGGATAGTGCCCATCCCTCCAGGACACTGTGCATCCATCCAAAGCAGCGTGCACCCAACCAGGAGAGGATGCACCCATCCCAGACGGCGCGCACCCATCCAGGGCATTGCACATCCATCCAGGACGTGCACGAATCCCAGAGCGCGTGCACCTATCCAGGACATCGTGCACCCATCCGGGTTGACGTGCACCCTTCCAGGACACGGCCCGGAGAGCACGTGTCCCTCCGGGATGCCGTGCACCCATCCGCCACGGCACGCAGCCACACGGCACCGTCCCGCACCCCCTGCCATCCCATCCTCCCCCATTCCCACCGGCTCTTCCCAAGGGAATCCCCCCTGCTCCCGCTCACCTGGGACGTCCTCACGGATGCCGGATCATTGAGTGCGGCCCGGAGCAGCTCTGCAAGGGCCCCAAACGGCGCCGCGTGAGTCCCCGGCGCGGGCGCATCCCCCCCGTCCGTCCCCACGGAGCGGCGGGCGCCGGATGGGACCCGTCTCACCCGCGGGCAGCGGATTGGGCTGCACCAGGTCCAGGCAGCGCCGGACCAGGCGGTAGAGCGGGTCGAGCGCCCCGGGCACGCGGTGCAGGGCCGGCACGCGGATGTCGGCGTGGGTGTCGGAGAAGCGCAGGACGGCGCCGGGGGCGCCCGGCGGGCACTGCTGGGCGCCCACCAGCACCCAGGGCAGCA